GCGAAGTCGTCGCTGCCAGCAGTCGCGCGAGTGCGCTCCCCAAAAACCTGATCGCCCCTCTCCCGTACAGGATCACGAGAGGCGGGGTTCCGGAGGCCTACTGTCCCTTCTCGCGGTGCACACTGGAAAGAGGGATGGAGAAGACTTGCTTGGTGGCGCAGTGATCTGGAACGGTGGTGAGAAACCATACGAAGCGGCGGCGGCTAGGGTAGACGTCTGCCTGACTATATAGTGCGGGCCGGGTAGGTCGTGGAAGTAAACCCCATGTCCGAGTCGTCACGATCCAAAGGAATTGGAAACAATTCAGTAATTAACGCGTCCGTTAATTATTAATTAATGACTCGTTAATTTTCCCATGCAGCAAAAATATAGACAACGTGCATAGCTCTGTCCGCGGCGCGGCGCGGCGAACGAGGAGGAGGAGCGCGCGTGTAGGTCTCCTCTTCTCATGCTCATACAAGTGGTAGAAGAGCTCGCCTTATAAAGAGGTGCAACTCTCTCTCAACTTCCGGGGTGGGACTAAACTTTAGCCTCACTCACTCCACTCACATGTGTGCATGAATGGGCTAAGAGAATTTCAGAATTTTAGTTGGGCTTTGGGCCAAAGGCCTACTAGCAAAATTCCAACACGTGTCTTCGCACATCTCGCAAAAAATTTGCTCAAGGATTAATTCATACGTTAACTCTAACCTGATATGCCAGTTTTGCTTTTCAGAAATGTAAATAAGTTGACGAGTAGATAAAGATCCAAAGATTATTATGCCTCGGTGAGGCCTACAACGGGAAGAGCACCAAGACAGATGCTCCCACGGTAAGAAATTCTAGGTCTCAATCCAGGAGGAGAAGTCTCATATTCTGGTATAGATTGCTCTTATGTACTCATTGTTAAGTTGGCACCTCGCTGTAATATTGACCAGTTACTGAAAACTTTCGTGGTGGCCGGCATGGGCTAGAGCGGTGGTGTGGTTGCCTGTGTGGCGGTGGTGTGGGAGCTGCAGCAGCAGTCATGCTGATGTTGCTCGCCTTTGTGTCATGTGTGCTGATGCTGCTCTGTTGTGTGCAATTTTAGAGCAACTTTATGCTGTTGTATGCTAATGTTGCTCTGCTGTGTGTCTATGCTCTGTAGCCTCTACTGTATGCTCTGCTCGGGCATTTTACGCACGGGCAATTTATAGGCTGAGATTCGGTATGCTAATTAGTGTGCTGATGCAGCTCAGGATCCAGTCATACCTCGAGTCCTCACTCTGGTTTTCCCACATTCCTTTGTTTCGCATTATCCTGATGTAAGCACATCCATGCAAAAGGTTGTGTGTGTGTGTCTTTTAATTTTCGAGGTAAATCAACTCCTTTTAGTTTTTGGTTTGACACTTCAGCAGCTCTTACTGAAAAAGGATTATAAACTTGTAGAAAATTGAGTTTATATATGTTTACAACCATATACTGACATTACTTACGGTGAGTAGTTTTTTTTACAAAGACTTACAGTGAGTAGTTAGATTACTATGTCAGACAACCAAAGAGTGATTAAAGCGGTTAAACTTCTGACAAGGTGATAATAACATCTTACAGAAAGATAGATGTGATGTTGATCCACTTCTTCATAGTATTTATTATGTACTGAAAGTAAATAAATTTGGTCATTGCAGATGTTCTCATGGGTAGCAATTTTTGTGCTTTGATTATAAACCATCATTTGTATTGCCCATCTGTCTTTTTAGAGAAAAACCTCATAGCACACTTTTTTGATTCTAGATAATAATTATGTCGTCCACATGATGGCTTAGGACAAAGCTAGGGGAGCATATGGTTTTGTTAATGTAGCCAGAGATGTTTTTTCTCATACATAGACCAAGGATCCTTCTACCTAAAGTAGCATTATCATCTGAGATTAAACAATATGTTTTCAGTGGGACAGGGAGATGTATACATTGTGTCTATATCCACATTGTTCAGATTGTAACGTAAGTTAATACATGGAACATCTTACGACAACAACATGCGCAATCATATCGTCCTTATGAAAGCCGGCGCAGCAAAGCGCGCGTAAGCTTCTAGTACAAATCCATGGCCGATCGCTCTCTTAAGATAGAGAAGGGAACATGTCCCACGTCCGCCACCTTTTAGGCTTTGAAACCGATGTTCGTATTTTTTAGATTTATTACAGGCCTTCCGGCGATGTGCATTCAGTGAAAGAAGACCTTTTTGTCGACTATGAAAGCGTCTGTGGCGACTTCATCAATCCCAAAATGATATGACGGCTTAGTCTCTTAAAGATGTTCATATGGTTAGGATGTGTGTGCGTGTGTTCGTAAGAGTGAGTATATATGCACATATATGAACATTTGCAACTGTACTGTGTTAAAATTTGGTGTACACGGGCGGGAATGAAAATGGAACTATGAACTGTGCACAAGCAGCGCAGGGTGACAATGGTCCAGGAAGCCATGCAATGGTACGCCTCATCGGTTAAGATATGCGATACGGTCGGCACGCCTCTTCGTTTAAGATACTTCCTTCATTCGAAAAAGGATGTCTCTCAAATGAATGTAACTAGCACTAACTTGGTGCTAAATATGTCCATTTGAGTGACAAATTTAGTACAAGCTTTTTCAGATGAAAGGAGTATGTGAAAAGATATAATGCTATATACAAATTGAAATACTTTAGGAGGTCCGATTCTTTAAGAGAAAGAATGGATTGGACAAGGAGAGCATCTATGCTCCTGCACAGAATAACACTTTTGTAAGGTATCCCTGGTCTTCTTGGAGAAGACTTGCTTTAATTTGCCGAGATATTCTCTTCCTCAATTTCAAACTTATCTCCATCAGAGCATAAGTCATTAATATTAGTGTTAATATCAGTATCACTAGTGTCAGTACGACCAGATGAGCTGCAACCCATTTCTTCATTATCCCCAACTTCCTTATTCAAAAGCATATGAAGCCTAGCCACCTCAAGTTTTCTCCACGGTCGTCCCTTCATATCCGGCCTCTAAAACCATACAACATATACAATGTACTAGCAACTACGTAGATCAAAACACACAACAAACAAACATAGAGCATACCAGCAAACGGACATAGTTCATACTTCATACAACCAAATGATATCTTAGCTTATCGTCGGACATGAGCAAACTCATACTAAAAAAATGATAAACAGAGATGGAGAAGGGCCAAGGAAATCACCATTTATTCGTTGGCCCCTTCCCCTTGAGATCGCCGGTGCGGCAGTACACCTCCGAGTAGGCGTCGGTGGCGGGAGGAGTGTATTCGTCGAAGTTGGAGCCGTCGTAGGAGGAGGTGATGCCGGTCATCTGACGGACCTCACGTGCATGCTCCTTCGATAGTCGGGCAGCCTGGCTTTGGCTGCCACATCCTCCGCCTCCTCGCGCTCTAACTGCTCGATGGCAAGTCAGAGTTCCTTGGCGACTAGCCGGTAGAGGACCGTCGCGAGGAACTGCTTGTCCGGATCTGCCGACACGCGCACAAGGGATCGGCGGGAGGACATCACTTCCGCCACCGCTGCCCTCTCCCCACTGCCTCTCGTAGCATGTGGCGCGAGCGGCGAGCCTCAGATTCCATCGTCGCCTCTGTGTTTGCAGTGGCGTCGATGCGGGCACAAGGACCCAGCGGTGCCAGGGACGCCAGCAAGAGCATGTGCGGAAAGGGGTGGGGGCGGCGTACCAGGAGCTGTGAGGAGCCGACGCCGTTGTCTGCATTGCGCCACCGAGTGATGGGGGACGGCGTGGAGCCAGAGCTTCCGCTGTCGCCCTTTTCCAGCTGCGACCGGCATTGTGGATGCGGGCGGTGAGCTCCTCATTGTCGTCTGCTTCCACCTCGCGCAGCAGCGACTCCCAGTTGACGGTCGTTGCTACTGGACACTGCGCTGCCGAAACTCGACATTGAATCAAAAGGGGAGAGGAAATGGAGAGTGCAGTAGAGACGAAGAGTGTGGGTTGACACAGGTGTAGGGTTCATCTGGTTGGGGATATTTGTGGGGTTGGGATGGGCCGGTCTGACTTGGCGGATGTGTCTAGGGCTCCGAGCACGTCTGAGCCTCCCCAATCTTCAAATCCGTCTCAGATTTAGACTAGATTTGAGAGGTGCCGGTTACTATAAGGTTGGTTCAAGGAAGACTGGCTTAGACTAGCCACAATGGAGAGTAACATACACATATCCCTAGACTATGTTACTACCTTCGTAGTGGGTAGTAACTTAAGTGTGGTAACATGCAAAGATTCATTTATTAGGTTATAGACTCGTATTGCATTGGAACATGTGATGTTACAGTAACTAGCTAAGTTACTACAACTACCTCTCTCCTCATTAACTCATTGCCACATAAGCAAATTTGTTGAGTTGGATTCGATGTTAGAGGGAGCTGCGAGTGGGACGTGCGTACTTGGCGGGCCGGCTTCTCGATAAATCTCCTTCCCCTCGCCAAGTCACAGTATCACACACACACACACACACACACACACACACACACACACACACACACAGGCCACACTTCCCTCTTCACACATCAACTTGAAAAGGAGAAGCTCAGAAGATCCACGAAGATGTTCCTAGCGATGCAGGCCGTCCTCAGGTACGACAAGGTGCATTCCGAACAAGAACAAATCGAACTCCGGCCCTGCCCGGCGCGTGTTCTTGGATTACGAATTTCAATGCAGGAGAAATGCCGTTGCTGGGCCGGCCGCGCTGGCTCGCTTCGTCAGCCACTGTGGCTACTCCACGGCCTCCAACTCCCAAAGGTTGGCCGGGAAGGTGGCCGTGATCACCGGTGCCGCCAGCGGCATCGGCAAGGCGACGGCCGCGGAGTTCGTCAGGAACGGCGCCAAGGTCATCCTCGCCGACATCTAGGACGACCTCGGCCGCGCCGTCGCCGCCCAGCTCGGCCCGGACGCGGCCTACGCCCGCTGCGACGTCACGGACGAGGCGCAGGTCGCTGCGGCCGTCGACCTCGCGGTGGCGCGCCATGGCCGGCTCGACATCATGCACAACCACGCCGGCGTCACCGGGCGGGTGGTCATGGACTCCGTCGGGTCCCTCGACCTCGCCGACTTCGACCGCACCATGGCCACCAACGCCCGGTCCGCCGTCGCCGGGATCAAGCACGCGGCGCGCGTGATGGTGCCGCGCCGGAGCGGGTGCATCATCTGCACGGCGAGCACCGCGGGGGTGCTGGGCGGCATCATCGCGCCCACGTACGGCGTCTCCAAGGCCGCCGTCATCGGCGCCGTGCGCGCCTTTGCCGGGGAGCTGGGGCGCCACGGGGTGCGCGTGAACGCCATCTCGCCGCACGGCATCGCCACGCAGTTCGGGCTGCGCGGGCTGGCACAGCTGTTCCCGGAGGCGGGCGAGGAGGAGATGCGACGGATGGTGGAGGCGGGCATGAACGAGATGGGCGGCGGGACGGTGCTGGAGGTGGAGGACATCGCCAGGGCCGCCGTGTACCTGGCGTCCGACGAGGCCAAGTACGTCAACGGGCACAACCTCGTCGTCGACGGCGGGTGCACGGTGTGGAAGGGGGCCAACAAGCCGGCACCGGCGCAGTAAGTCATTGTTGTTATGACTAATTGAGATTTGATTAGGTTGATTAATGAGTTAATCCACATCCACCAGTCAAGTGGTGCCGGCAGTTTAGACTCTGCCAAACAAAGCAACGGTTGCTCGCATGCTGGCGTTGCAATAAAGGTGAAAACAAAGGTTTTTTTTCATAGAAAGTTATACCACAGAGTTCATTTCATTTTAAACCAAGTTGTAAACGCAGATCCTTTGGAAAAAAAAGGATGTGTCTAGGACACATCTAGATGTGCTTATTGCACATCTTAGTAAGTGGATCAAGCATAAAGAGAAAAAAAAAAGGAAATATCCACACGAATCTCGATGTAAGATCAATGACATAGAACTTAGATGTGCAATATTTATGGCACATCTAGATGTGCTTTAGCAAAACTGGGAAAAAAATATCGCAAACGCAGCCATGTGGAAAGAGCTTTTTCATCAGAGGAAAGGATAGTCACCTTGCTCCATTGCCATCGTCGCTTCACCACTAGATCCGCCACTGATGCCGTAGATGGACGTAGTTGTACAGGTTGCTTGATTCAGATATCTACATGAAATTCTTGGCGAGAAGTCAGTATCCTAAATCATGTTTTACAGGTTGCTTGATTCGGATATCCACATGGAATTCTTGGCGAGATGTCAGTACCCTCAATCCATAGCAAAACGCAACGTGTATTGTGTGGAACACAAGAAGTCACTATACTGCTTAAAACAGGATGTAGTACGACGGACTTGGTGGGGTTCCTTCTGCCAAAGGCTTACTCCAACAACCATGATTCCCATGTGTTTTCATTCAAGATTTTGCATGATCTCAATACATGTTGATCATGTTTATGTCACTGGCAACACACAAGATAGTTGACGAAGTACGCAATCAACTAAAGATGGAATTTGAAATAAGAATTTGGGCAAAACCAAAAATTTCCTTGGGCCTTTAACTCGAACACCTTAACCCCGGTGTGATGGTACTCCAATCCACGAAATATTGGATAAATTCAATATGCCAAGTCGTATCCATCTAAAACTGCAATGATTGTCTGATCTCTAGACGTATAGAAAGATCCATTCAGGACATGGGAAGATGAAGAAGAGGTGTTGGGACCCGAGGTTCCATACCTGAGAACTTGTCCAAAGATGAGAGCCGAGTGTCTCAATCCTGATATCAGAGCTCAACTGGATCACTGGGTCAAATTTTTCATACATGTTATGGCACCAACCAAATGGTATAAGGTACAAAAGGGTGGACAATTCAGGCTCTCGGCTAAGCTCTATCAATATTAGCGATTTACACGGGTAATGGTTAACTCTACAATGTCATTCACAGGAAAAATGCAGAGAATCTTTCGCACATCGATGCCTTCATACCTTTACCACAAAAGAAAACATGCACTGACGGTTCAAAGGCGCATTGGACAAATTTGCAGGCTATACTCTCTTCTGGGGTTCTCTGACTGAGGAGATCTCGTCCAACCCGGTGCACGGACATGTCCTGTAAAATCTAATAATCGTTGGCCTTCTCCCGCAGCTCATTTAACTCCCTCTCGATATCCCTGTCTCGAGGAGTAGCGCTTCTACCTTGAGGAAGTTCACCTTTCTGCCGTTGACATTAAATTATAGTCATGCAGTATGGAATGAACAGGAGACATTTACTAGATTAATTTTTGGGTTTTGTAGTTAGCTGGCCAGCTTATGATCCATGTTTGCATATTCTACTCTATTTCTCCAATGATTATGTGCATGCCATAGTGCACATGCCAGCAGAAGAGAGGAAAATCTAAAACACACAGGTTTTAACTCAAAAGTCAATTATAGCTTTAAGTACAAAAAAATGACATACCAAAGAGCTCCCAGACAGTTCTTTTCTCATTTGTGCAAGATCATCATCAACCGATGTAGTCTCCAGCATAGCGAACTGCCCGCAAATAAATACTGGTGGTCAGATCTTATTACCAAAAGGAATGTTACTAAAAAGTATGCAGGGTCCAACTTTACCTTTCCTTCTAGATCATCTGCTCCTAACTGACCAAGTGCCTCGGCTTGGGATTCCATCGTCATAACTAAAAGCATAAAAAAACACTACTTGTAAGTAAAAAGTGTTCAAATAATTTTCCATGAGATATCACTTGCCGCTGATGAACAGAACCAATAAGAGAGGCTAGTGCATATGCCATTCTAACCAACTGAAAAAACATACGAAAAAGAAGAATTAAAGACATAATTTGCCAAGGTCATGCTCAGAACAACTCAAGTGAGAAATCAGACCATATGCCAATCAAAACAATTATTATAAAAACTCAAATTTCGTTCGTGTGGTCGAAGTTATGTGCGGTTGTGCAAGTGGCTGAACTTTTCATCGCTAGAAAATTACCACCCAAAAAAGGCAAGTAAAACAAACATTGAAATGCGCTTCTATAATGCCACAGCCAGCAATAAAAGAAGGTTCTAATTGCTACCTGCTGCATTATGAATATTTCGGCACTGATATTAATTTGATAACATTTCGAGGTTCCAGCCTCTACTCGGTCATAAAGGTAACTTACTGACTATTAGTGTTTATTGCTTAGTATGGCAGCTTGTAACTGTCTACTGAGATGCTTTAACTTGAACCATAACAATAAAGATATCTATGTCTATGTTTCTTATAGAGCATGACCTCTGGCCTAAGGCGAAATTATTGTCCATAGCCACCACAAAAACACGGACATGATACTTTACACAAAAGAAAAAAACGCTGGTGAGACAAAATCAGTAACGAAGAGAATACCTTTTTCCTCCATTTTCTCAAATGCAGACAGAGCACTACTTGTATTCACATTCCCCAACATTTCACTCACTTTTGTTGCAGTTCTGTAAAAAAAAGGCCAATTGTCAGAGCATCCAAACTATGAAGTAGCAGCTGGTCAAACAATCAACAAAGGAAAGACGCATACTTGGCTGATTGAGCACGGGCTTTTAGGGTATCCTTTTTCTGCCTGGCCTCTGCTATTTTGCTCTCAAGAAGCTACAGAATGATGTAATCAATATGTTAACAAAGGTGCATAACAAATACCTATTAAATGTGAATATGTACTGTCCAGCCTGTGCTGCACGTGGTCCCAGAAAGATATAGATTTATATGACATGCATAATGCACATAGCGAAAAGAGCATTCCAGCCATTATGTTCACCTTGGTATTTGAAACAAGATTTTCAACAACACTCCTCTGCTGATCAAGCTGGGTCTTTAAGGAGCTTGCATTGTCCTAAGTACAGAAACGAACAAATAACCATGGGTTTAATATTCAAATTAACATACGTTGCATGCAAGAACTTTGCTTCTAAAAACATTTAAGATCTTTACTAAATAAATGTAACACCTATATACACCATACATGTTAATGCCATAAGAAGGTACAAAGGTATAACACATTACACACTGTCAGAAAGAAATATATTTTCTAACAGCAAGTTACACCCTACACTGTAGCTAAATAGTGTGACTGTCCAGACCTTTGATCGAAAACTCTAGATCTACATGATACCTACAGCATATGATTTACGTCGTTTCAGGGCTTCACGTGCAAGCTCCTCATCACCCTTTTGAAGAGCAAGCTGAGCCCTCCGATACCTACAATTGTAAGAAAATATTCATCCTGTAAAGAAAAGATGGTAGGGCTCGAAGTAAGCTTAGAGTTACAGAGAACATGATTACCAGTCAGCATCAGCTTGTTTAGCAGCTGTGTACTTGTTCTCAAGCCGCTTTTGAGATGCCAAGACCTTCCAAAACAAAAATCCATGTTAGCAGGTAAAATGAAATAGATAACACACTCACATTTCCATTAAGATATTTATACAGGGAGGCCCAACAAACATACAAGTACATGAGAGGCAGATAACCAAACAAACATCAACATCCAAAAGAACATGTAGCAAGGTATGTTTAAGACGACAAAACAGAAAATTTTGAAAAAGGGAAAAAGAGCATGTATTGTCAATTATCAAATTTTGTGATTAAGTACAGTCACAACAAACCTGTGCAGTGGCTTGCCGCATCTTTATTAAATCATCATTCATCTCCAGAACCGCCTGATCTAGGATCTTCTCGGGGTCTTCAAATGAACTAATAACTGCATTTGCATAGGACTAGATAACCAAGAGGTCACAGAGCTCCCATTAATTAAATACAAAACTTTGCTAATGCATAATGAGGCAATGATCAAGGGTATCACTCACCCTGGCAACCCTGGTTAATCTATCGAAGAGATTACTCCGTATGACATTGCACTTATATCTCTTGACATTTGATTGGCGACGGAGCCTGAATTTTGCCGTGAGGGGGGCCGAGAAGATATGCGAATTTATCTATACAATGTCATCATAATGTAGATGCTTTGAGCTACTCATAAAAACAAAAGAACATCAAAGAACAATTTGAGTTTGAAATAACCTAACAGAACCTCAATCATGACCACCGTGGTGGAGCTTAATTTGCACACACTTAAAAAATCAGTCGCTAAATGGCAAGGCCTAGCGCACTTATACAGTTATAATTTACCAAGTCAATGGTGATGTGTTGAAAACTAGACATGCGCATGAATCAGTTGGTCAAGCACTAAACTCACAAGACAGATGAGACATTGGAACATTCTTCTGGGGAAAATGGTCTACTTCTGCATAACATTAGACTCCATGCCTCCTCGAATGTTCAAAAGAATTAATTGTCCACAATATACAACATGTGTGCATGGATAATGAATGAAATCTTATGCATTGCAGCTTGCACTGCTACTTATTCAGGTCGAGATTAGTACTAGCTAAGCTATAACCTATGCATCTTATTCAAAATCAGGGATAGGCAGGATTGATTGGGGTCAGGGGGCAGGCTACTTGCACAGCTCAAAACTCCATTACAGGATTGGCTCGGGCCACAGTCGAATCCCCCCACCGATATATCTAGATTGGGGTTCGAATTTCATCCCCCTCATTCTCTGTTCGATTATCAAAATAGGAGCGGCGTACCACAGGCGCCGTTGACGCCGTCCTCGTCATCGCCACCGCCACTTGACCATGTTGTCGCCGGAGCCGGAGGGTGGGCGGCGCAGGGGAGATGTGCGGGTGGGCCGCGGGGCGGGACGGAGCGGCGGGCAGGCGGCGCACCGAGAGGAGCATGAGGGCCGGCGGGGTGGAAGGAGCGGCGGCGCCGGCGAGGTAGGGCAGGGAGGAGACGGAGCACGGCTGAGCTCGGGAACGGTGGTACGCAGCGAGGGAGAGGTTGTGGCTGGGCTGGCCCAAACCTTATCTTTCTCACATTTCTTTCTATTTTTAATGGAAAATCAGATCTTTTTGCCTATAAATATCCTATATTGACAATGTAAGTACAGTAGTATATAAACGTTGAAATAAAAAAACGGACACTAATTTCTCTTTTAATGAGACTTCTTGTTTTGGACTCCTTAGCTCGCGAACTTTCGTCATAAGGGATGGCATTTGCCGACAATTTCGCTGGTAATTTTAGTTATAAGGGATGACAGTTTCTTTAGAGCAACATAACAGTTTCTGTCAGAGATGGCAATTTTTTATTTAAAATTGCCACGGTTTGATCTCATCTCAAAACTAAAATTGTCATTAAAAGAGGTTCGTTTGTCATCCCTATTCTTATATCAAATTTTGTTCCTCTAATGATACACTCAACAGGGCGATGCCGCTTCATTCTATTCCAATTTCAATATTAGGGTGGGTTGTGGTACACCTCACCCCCACCTCAATTTTGTTAAAAAGGGTATTTTCATCCATTACACGAATTAAAAGATTTATCCCTCAGTTACCGGGTAATTACTAGTGTTTCACACACAAGTGTTGGGGAACGTTGCACAAAACAAAAATTTTCCTACGGTTTCACCAAGATCCATCTATGAGTTCATCTAGCAACGAGTATTCAGATTGCATCTACATACTTTTGTAGATCACGAGCGGAAGCGTTCAAGAGAACGGGGATGAGGGAGTCGTACTCGACGTGATCCAAATCACCGGAGATCCTAGCGCCGAACGGACGGCACCTCCGCGTTCAACACACGTATGGTCAGTGTGACGTCTCCTTCTTCTTGATCCAGCAAGGGGGAAGGAGAGGTTGAGGAAAATGGCTCCAGCAGCAGCACGACGGCGTGGTGGTGGTGGAGCAGCAGTACTCGACAAGGCTTCGCCAAACTCGTGACGGAGGAGGAGAGGTGTTGGGGAGGGGAGGGGCTGCGCCTTGGATGTGTCTAGCAGCCCTCCCCTCGCCCCTCTATTTATAGGGGAAGGGAGAAGGGGGGCCGGCCCCTCTAGATGAGATCTAGAGGGGGGCCGGCGGCCAAGGGGAGGGGGCTTGCCCCCCAAGCAAGGGGGGCGCCCCCCCTCAGGGTTTCCCCCAAACCTAGGCGCATGGGCCCTAGGGAGGAGTGGCGCCCCAGCCCACTTTAGGCTGGATCTCTTCCTCATATAGCCCATAAGGCCCTCCGGGAGAGGTGGCCCCTCCCGGTGGACCCCCGGAACCCCTCCGGTGGCCCCGGTACAATACTGATATGCCCCAGAACCTTTCCGGTGACCGTATGACAACTTCCCATATACAAATCTTTACCTCCGGACCATTCCGGAACTTCTCGTGACGTCCGGGATCTCATCCGGACTCTGAACAACTTTCGGGTTACTGCATATACATATCTCTACAACCCTAGCGTCACCGAACCTTAAGTGTGTAGACCCTACGGGTTCGGAAGACATGTAGACATGACCGAGACGGCTCTCCGATCAATAACCAACAGCGGGATCTGGATACCCATGTTGGCTCCCACATGCTCCTCGATGATCTCATCGGATGAACCACGATGTCGAGGATTCAGGCAACCCCGTATACAATTCCCTTTGTCAATCGGTACGTTACTTTCTCGAGATTCGATCGTCGGTATCCCAATACCTCGTTCAATCTTGTTACCGGCAAGTCACTTTACTCGTACCGTAATGCATGATCCCGTGACCAGACACTTGGTCACTTTGAGCTCATTATGATGATGCATTACCGAGTGGGCCCAGAGATACCTCTCCGTCATACGGAGTGACAAATCCCAGTCTTGATCTGTGTCAACCCAACAGACACTTTCAGAGATACCCGTAGTATACCTTTATAGTCACCCAGTTACGTTGTGACGTTTGGTACACCCAAAGCACTCCTACGGTATCCGGGAGTTACACGATCTCATGGTCTAAGGAAAAGATACTTGACATTGGAAAAACTCTAGCAAACAAACTATATGATCTTGTGTTATGTTTAGGATTGGGTCTTGTCCATCACATCATTCTCCTAATGATGTGATCTCGTTATCAATGACATCCAATGTCCATAGTCAGGAAACCATGACTATCTGTTGATCAACGAGCTAGTCAACTAGAGGCTTACTAGGGACATGTTGGTGTCTATGTATTCACACATGTATTACGATTTCCGGATAACACAATTATAGCATGAATAAAAGACAATTATCATGAACAAGAAAATATAATAATAATCCTTTTATAATTGCCTCTAGGGCATATTTCCAATAGTCTCCCACTTGCACTAGAGTCAATAATCTAGTTACATTGTGATGAATCAAACACCCATGGAATTCTGGTGTTGATCATGTTTTGCTCTAGGGAGAGGTTTAGTCAACGAATCTGCTACATTCAGGTCCGTATGTACTTTACAAATATCTATGTCTCGATCTTGAACATTTTCACAAATGGAGTTGAAGCGACGCTTGATGTGCCTGGCCTTCTTGTGAAACCTGGGCTCCTTGGCAAGTGCAATAGCTCCAGTGTTGTCACAGAAGAGTTTGATCGGCCCCGACGCATTGGGTATGACTCCTAGGTCGGTGATGAACTCCTTCACCCAAATTGCTACATGCGCTGCCTCCGAGGCTGCCATGTACTCCGCTTCACATGTAGATCCCGCCACGACGCTCTGCTTGCAACTGCACCAGCTTACTGCCCCACCATTCAAAATATACACGTATCCGGTTTGTGACTTAGAGTCATCCAGATATGTGTCGAAGCTAGCGTCGACGTAACCCTTTACGACGAGCTCTTCGTCACCTCCATAAACGAGAAACATTTCCTTAGTTTTTTTAGGTACTTCAGGATATTCTTGACCGCTGTCCAGTGTTCCTTGCCGGGATTACTTTGGTACCTACCTACCAAACTTACGGCAAGGTTTACATCAGGTCTGGTACACAGCATGGCATACATAATAGAACCTATGGCTGAGGCATAGGGGATGACACTCATCTCTTCTATATCTTCTGCCGTGGTCGGACATTGAGCTAAGCTCAATTTCACACCTTGCAACACAGGCAAGAACCCCTTCTTAGACTGATCCATATTAAACTTCTTCAATATCTTATCAAGGTATGTGCTTTTGTGAAAGACCTATGAGGCGTCTTGATCTATCTCTATAGATCTTGATGCCTAATATATAAGCAGCTTCTCCAAGGTCCTTCATTGAAAAACTCTTATTCAAGTAGGCATTAATGCTGTCCAAAAGCTCTATATCATTTCCCATCAAAAATATGTCATCTACATATAATATGAGAAATGCTACAGAGCTCCCACTCACTTTCTTGTAAACGCAGACTTCTCCATAAGTCTGCATAAACCCAAACGCTTTGATCATCTCATCAAAGCGAATGTTCCAACTCCGAGATGCTTGCACCAGCCCATAAATCGAGCGTTGGAGCTTGCACACCTTGTCAGCATTCTTAGGATCGACAAAACCTTCCGGCTGCATCATATACAATTCTTCATTAAGGAAACCATTAAGGAATGTCGTTTTGACGTCCATTTGCCATATCTCATAATCACATAATGCGGCAATTGCTAACATGATTCGGACGGACTTCAGCTTCGCTACCGGTGAGAAAGTCTCATCGTAGTCAACCCCTTGAACTTGTCGATAACCCTTAGCGACAAGCCGAGCTTTATAGATGGTCACATTACCATCCGCGTCTGTCTTCTTCTTAAAGATCCATTTATTTTCTATGGCTCGCCACTCAACGGGCAAGTCAGTCAAAGTCCATACTTCGTTTTCATACATGGATCCTATCTCGGATTTCATGGCTTCCAGCCATTTGTCGAAATTCGGGCCCGCCATCGCTTCTTCATAGTTTGAAGGTTCACCGTTGTCTAACAACATGATTTCCAAGATAGGGTTGCCGTACCACTCTGGCGCGGAACGTGTCCTTGTGGACCTTCGAATTTCAGTAGGAGCTTGATCAGAAGTATCTTGATCATCATCATTAACTTCCTCTCTAATTGGTGCGGGCACCACAGGAGCATTTTCCTGAGTTGCGCCACTTTCCGGTTCAAGAGGTAATACTTCATCAAGTTCTACTTTCCTCCCACTTACTTCTTTCGAGAGAAACTCCTTCTCTAGAAAGGATCCATTCTTGGCAATAAAGATCTTGCCTTCGGATCTGAGGTAGAAGGTATACCCAATAGTTTCTTTAGGGTATCCTATGAAGACGCGTTTTTCCGACTTGGGTTTGAGCTTTTCAGGTTGAAGTTTCTTGACATAAGCATCACATCCCCAAACTTTTAGAAACGACAGCTTAGGTTTCTTCCCAAACCATAATTCATACGGTGTCGTCTCAACGGATTTCGGCGGAGCCCTATTTAAAGTGAATGCGGCAGTCTATAAAGCATAGCCCCAAAATGATAGCGGTAAATCGGTAAGAGACATCATAGATCGCACCATATCTAACAGAGTGCGATTACGACATTCGGACACACCATTATGCTGAGGTGTTCTAGGCGGCGTGAGTTGTGAAACTATTCTACATTTTCTTAAGTGTGTGCCAAATTCGTGACTCAAGTATTCTCCTCCATGATCTGATCGTAGGAACTTGATTTTTCTGTCACGTTGATTCTCAACCTCACTCTGAAATTCCTTGAACCTTTCAAAGGTCTCAAACTTGTGTTTCATTAAGTAGACATACCCATATCTACTCAAGTCATCAGTGAGGATGAGAATATAACGATAGCCACCGCGAGCCTCAACACTCATTGGACCGCACACATCAGTATGTATGATTTCCAATAAGTTGGTTGCTCGCTCCATTGTTCCTGAGAATGAAGTCTTGGTCATTTTACCCATGAGGCAT